CAGCCACCGGGGAAACAGCCCCTGATTAGAATGCAGGGACCTGCCTGGGCCTGACTCTGCTGCAGGGGCTTGTCTGCCTGATTGCGCTGTGAGTGTGCGTCTTCCTTCGCCTGACGAATACCAGAGGAAGCTCTTCCCCAGCTGTGGTGGATTGACAACTAGTGGTCAACTCATAACCCCCAGCTGAACTGAGTAAGCGTGGTGCTGGGTGTGGGAGGCCCAGCTGACGACTGGTGCCACCAGCCTAAGAGGAAGGAGTGAGGCTGGTGGGAGGAGAAAAAGATTGTTGGGAGCTGGTAGAAGCTGTAAGGAGCTGTTGGTTTTGTTGGAGGAGCTTGTCCTGCTGGCTTTCCTGATGAACTTGGCTGTTTTTATCCTCCGAGGAGCTCGGGGCCTTGTTGGCACTGAGAATAGCTTCGGTTCACTTTGGGGGAGCTCCGGTCTTCACTTTGAGCATTGCTTTCTGGCTCTAGAGAGGAAGATGGTGCACTGCGGGCCTGCTGGAGAAGATTGCTGCATTGGCTTTCCTGATGGGAACTCTGCTGCCTTCTCCATTGGAGGAGCTCAGGACCTCACTGATGGTTTTTGTCTCATCGTTGAGTGCCTAGCTCAGAAAGAATCTATTTTTTAATGTGAGTTATGTGAAAGGAACACACTCCGCTCTGCCGTTACCTCGTTTCGGTTTCTGCATAGAATTGAAAGTCTTCATTGCCTTTGGAGCTTTATCCCGGGTCTGTAGAGTTGGTCTGATTTGCAGTTTATAGGGTGGGAATACAGAGATGAGAATGAGAGACAGCAAACTTGGCCTTGGAGCTTGGAGGGTACTTTCTCAGGCTACTTTCATTGAGAATATCAAGCATCAAGCAGGATGTCCGGTATGGTGCATTGAATGCCTTACTTTAGATTCGGTTTTGCAACACTCGGAGTGCTTATTTAGGGACACAGAATTAAATTGTATGTCATCTGTGGGGTCATAACAGGAAAATTCAGTGAGCTACCACCTTTCTCTGATTTATGGTTTTCTCTTTGCCTGTTAATAATAAGCTATCTAAGTAGCTATTTTGTACATTGATTGTTGTAGTGACAGTCCGTAGAAGCAGCCACCTTAAGGTGACTCAGAGCAAGTAAAACCAGTGCTTAAAGCAGGTAGCTTTCCAGAAAATCAGTGAAGCCACAGAGAGTTTTGCAGTATTTCCCAGAATTGTCAGTGTTTTGAAATGGTCAGGTTCCTCAAATCCTAAGAAGGACAGTACCAAAAGGGTCCCAGGCAAAACTGCTTTGAGTTTGGAGAGCTTTCTGTAATGGGAATCCCAGGAGGCTCTTGGTGTCCCATCTGCTGAAGAACTAGGCACAGTGGAATGGGGACAGAGCACCACTGTCCTCTCTGCTACTTTTTCCTGTCACAGTGGAGCTTGGCCGCATCGGCCCCCCGTTTTCCGCATCTGTCAGCATCACCAACAGCACGTGGTGCTTCACTCTGGAAGCAGAGACACATGGTGGGGTCGAGTCCATAGCTGACTTCTAGCTGAATCGGGACTCTGTACCCAACAGGTAGCCTTGTACCCTGGGGTAGGATAGATTGCTGCTGGAAAGGGGTCTGGCCTGGGTTCCTTGATTGAAGAGGGGGAGCAGTACAAAGCTCCACCGTCCCCTCCCGTTTCCACGGTGTGCGAAGCAAGGGGCTTCCTGTGTTGAAACCAGTGTCCCTGTCAAATAAAAACTAGGTGTGAGGCATGAGGCGACAGGCATGGTCAGTGTGGCTCGCCTGCCATCCCACCGCAGACACACATTTCCTGAATGCCCTTCGCTGTAGCGGTTAATGAGTATCCTCCAGCTCGGCGACCACCTGGGCCACGAGGATCCAGGTAAGGAAAGTTTTCCCTCCTTCTTTGTGCACCTTGGGAAGGCAGTTTCATGAGGCGCTTTGAAGTATGTTGGCGTATCAGATAGAAGGAATTCTTGTGTGCAAGCTTTTCTGTGCTTTAGAGGGCTTGTGGGCCCCATCTCATAAAACCAAGAAAATGTTAGAAAAATTGAAAATCCTACCCATTTCCTGCTAGGCTGAAATGATAAATGTGTAGTTAATAAAATCCCGTATATATGGTAAACCAACAAATAGCTGTAAAGGGGTGTACCTGGGTGATACAGGGATTGAGCATTAGACAGTACTAAACCTTAATAAACTGGTATGCTATGTATTTTCCCATGCGTGGTTATATTTCATTACACTGGAATATGTGTACACCGTATCAACTTTCAATTCCCAAGCTCAGTGTGGCAGTGGGCTCTCCTACTGCTCTAATCGTGTGTGTATTATCGGAGAGGAGTTAAAAGGGTGATGGAAGAAGAAAGGTTTGAGGGACTTGGAATTCCTTTTCTAAAATGCTAATCCCGTAATAAGGATAATTTCTTTGCTCTGTGCTTAGCTTTGCAGGCCATACAGTATCTGTCTTCACTGTATGGCTTTACCCTTTTTTTTTTTTTTAGTCTTTTTGAAACAGGATCTCGCTATGCAGTTCAGGCTGGCCTTGAGCTTCTTTTCCAGCCCAGGCTGGCTTTGAACTTGCAGTGATCTTCCTGCCTCAGCTTTGCCATTTTAGCAAGATACTATGCATAGACAGTCGATATGCCTGTGCTCTGATAAAACGGCCTGATGGAAGTGAAATCTGAATCACATTCTCATTTCCACATGTCACAAGAAATTCTTTTGCCAGGCATAGTGGCATGTACCTCTAGTCCCAGTTACTCAGGAGGCTGAGGCAGGATGATCTCCTGAGCCAGAACTTCAGAGTGTGCCTGGCAACACAGAGACCTCATCTGAAATAAATAATGACTCTTCTATTTTCTCTTTCCATTTGAAAGCACGTAGGTAGTGCAGGTGTGTGTTTCGAAGAATGCAAGTCAAACAAGGGCTGACAACGTTCAGGAGGGTGGATTGAAGTCTTGGCTGTAAAGCCCTTGCGTCCCCGGGCCTACCTCCACCGTACCTCTGGAATGCCACTCTAGGCAGAAAGGAGGATATCAGTTGTGTTTGGAAGCAGAGTGAGAGACTTGGGGTCACCAGTGATCAGAACCCTGTCATCGTAGACAGGCCTACGTCTACGCGCTCCTCCCTGCCCTCCAAGAACTCCGCGCGCAGCACACACAGAAAGCACCAGCTGCTTGCGGAAGCTCTTGCTTGGGTCCCGGCTGGTTAGTTTCGCTGACATGATACTATACACTTCTTAGATAGCCATTCTTTAAAAGAGAGACCGTTCGGGACCAGCAGTCAGTGTCCCACTTAAAATCAGGACAGCACACAGGTCAGCCTTCACAGAGGGGAGTCTGCAGGGAGATGCATGCAAGCTTCGCAGCGTTAATAAGTTGACTTTATACTGGGCTCCTGCCTTCATCACTCTCCAAAAGACAAAACCAGAATTAAGAGTCAGTTCTCTGTGCTACAACGCAAGGGGGGGTTGGTGCAGAAACTGTCAACAACCCACAGCTTAAGGACACTGCCCTGAAGCTGCAGGCCCTTCCTCACCCACGCTCCTGAGAGGAAAGACGGGGTAAGGAGAGAGAAGCGTAGCGAAGCTATTGAATCAAAGTTCTGCAGTGCACTGCAGAAACGCAGGCCCGGGACAGGAGCAGGGAGAGAGGCCTTGCTACGTTCTCTCGCTGGTTCTAGGGGAGAGGAGCTGCAGTTATACAGTGCCTGGGGAGGAGAAGTTACAGCTCCTGCAGTGCATCATGGGGCAGGTAGAGCAGGAGCAGTGATGACCGGTCACAGCCACAGGCTGTTTCCAAGCCTTTCCAGCATCCCTTCTTGGAGCTGCTGCACTGTGTCCGAGCACCATATGTGGGGGTACCGTTTTCTGAGCCCCTGGAAAACTAGTATATACCATTAACAAACTCCTGCACTATTAATTGGATATGTTTTGTTTACACTCTTACTATAGTCATTCTACAAGAAAGGGAAAAAGTAAAGATTAAGGATCAGCAAACCGTAGTAACGTCAAGAGGGGAATTGGTATACATTGGTCCAGGAGGCAAATCTGCAACAGAAAGAAAGTTAGGAGCAGCTTGTAGCATAATGATGCCAAAGCCTGTGTGGAAGGAGCATGCACACCGCTGAAATTCTTTTCCAGGTGTTTTGTGTTTGAGATAAAAACGATCTATTCACAGTGTCATTCAGATGGGTCTTGAACTCAGTATGTTGCCCAGGCTGCCCTCAAACTCGTGGCAGTTTTCCTGCCTCAGCCTCCGGAGTACAGGGATTATATGCCCTGCACACATTCTTACTGCCAAGAAGAGTAAGCGAAAGAGAGATGAAAAGGGCTTTTGCGTTGCTGCGCTATAATCTTACACTTACTCTGTAGAAGCTAAAGGCAGATTCCCAAACCTAGTTCCCGTAAGTAAGGTACCTGTATCGCGCTCAGTGTACCTTTGCCTGTTCCAGTTTATTGCGTAGAGAAAAGTTATTCCTCAGCTTCAACTTGCACTGTTTGATCAATCTAAGTTTTAGGTTTTCCATCACAACCTGGGGTTCAGTTAGAGCTCCAGTGGGGGAAATTGGGCAGAAATACCCGCTGTACCTTCCGTGGTGCGGTGGAGATTCTCCAGGCACGTGCCTCTTGTCTTAGAGCCGCCCATGCCAGGGCCAAGGGGCAAGGCCAGCTTCACTGTGTGCGGAGCAGCAGTGTGCTTCGTGGAAAGGCGCCTGACGCGTGTTCCCTGGGCTGCCCGGGACCATCAGACCAGACACGGCAAGCTGGACTCCCTCGCTGTCCTCTGGCAAAGGAATCGCTTACTATTTACTTTCCAGCCCACTGGCTCCTGTCAGTACTTAATGTTTGTCAAGGGCAAAAGCAACTTTAGCACAGTCTCCACGGGGAGGTGTCACACGTGTGTGCTGACGAGAAGCGATGCACTCTGAGGTCAGCTCACGTGCGGGACGCTTGCTCACGCATGTGCTTTCTGTCAACACCCACCCGCTGTGCTGGTGTCCTGGGGCGGCCGGAACGCTCCCCAGCAGAGCTGCTGGGCTCAGAGCAGGACTCTGGACTGCTTGTGGAAACTGCGCAGCTCAGCGCTGTCGTGGACAGTGTCTGGGAGGAAGTCAAGCGAGGGAGGAATCCGGCTGAGGTTGGACACCGAGGGCCAGGAGGAATCCGGCTGAGGTTGGACAACGAGGGCCATGTTCCCGGTGGGCAGGTGATGGCATGGTATACCGTAGCAGGAGTAGATGGCAAAACGGGCTGCTCACCTCGTGATTCCTGACGGATGCCTGTGTCCTTGGAGCTCCTGGGCTTTGAGCTGCCTTTGTCTAATCTGCCTCCTCACTGGGCTCACTTCCCTGTGTGTATCTGTGTGTCTTTCCAGATGTCTCCTCTCTTTTACAAAGAGATCAGTCCTTGGATTTAAGTCCCAGGATCCCCTTCAAGGTCAAAACCCCGTGACCTAACTTCCTCCCTCAAGGCTCCGCCTCTTCCCTTCCCAAGAGCACCTGGGGCAGGTGAGCAAGCCTTGAACATACTCCAGATCCAGCCTGCAGGCACCGGGTTCATTGGAGCATGCTCCCACCCCACCTGTCCTGCCCTCCCCCCAGGCTTGTGCTACAGTATGACCTGGAGGGGTGCAACTCCGTTCCTACCTCCGCCCCCCTCTCTGCTTCCTGGCCATTGTGAGGTGAGCCACTCTCCTCCCCGAGACCCGTCCCCCCAAGTCCTTTCTGCCTGGAGCCTGCCCTCCTGGGGCTCAAGTGGCAGCCAAAGTAAACCTCTCCCCCTTTAAATTATGGGTGTCAGATATTCTGGCTCAACCACAAGGAGTGATGATGACACCCCCAGACCTCACACTGTCCTGATCTGGGAGCCGGGATCAGCTGCAGGCCCTCCTCCCAAACGTACAGGAGCGTTAGCAGTTGTGCTGGAATCTCACTCTCATCGGTCCCAAGCCAAGCCCTCTCTTTTCTCCTCCTTTGCAGGGCACTGTGTGGCACCGTGATGTGGTGGAGTCACTCGGTTACACTGTTGCAGGCAGCTGTGTGTGATTCTTTCCCCACCTGTGGGATCCATGCAGGGTCCCTGGTCCCTGCTCAGTTAGTTCTCAACATCTGTCCGGCACCGCAGCACCTTTCCAGAGCAGAGGATTCACACAGAGTGCCTGGAGAAAGGAAGCAGGGTCTCTGCCCCAATCAGCCATTGCTCAGAGAAGCATATTCCCAGAAGAAGGAGCAGGAACCAGGCAAAGGTTGACAGCCCGAGGCTTGGCTGCGCATGAAATCTTTACGAAATGCTCAGCTGGCAGTGGTCGTAGCCAGCAGCAGCTCCCTGCAAGGGGCTAGCGAGCCGATGCCGATTTTACACCATGGCTCCATCTTAAAGGACAAACACGTAAAACTTACGAAGAGTAAAAGTCTGCGTTTCAGCCCCTTTCCTGAATTCGGCAGTAAGCATTGTACAAGCTGTGTGTATGGGTGTGAGTACTGTGTGTGCTTGGAGACGTCTGATTCTGGTGGTTTTGTAGCATAAAAGATAAAGCCCGATGCCGAAGTGGTCAGCATGGATTTTCATCAGTGGTGGGCGCCCGCAGGCGAGGAGGGAGCCCTGTGCATTCGCGGAGACCTCGGGCCTGGGCAGGGGAGCTGAGAGCGGACAGAGCCAGGCTCACGGGTGAGGAGAGTGCAGCGTCACAGGGGGCGGCTCGGGCGTGTGAAGCCGGAGTGCCTGCTCACTGGTGCTCCTGGACGTGCAGCCGCTTCCTCAGCGGGTCGCCGGGCACAGCTGGGAGGCCGCTTCGCGTCTTACAGACCAGCGTTAGAGCCAGTTAGTAAGACTACCCGGAACAGGCTGGGCGGGGACGGCTGCTACTCACAGTGCTGCCTGCTTCTCGCGGGACTACCTTTCTTCAAATGCCTTGCGAGAGATAAATGAGTACACCGGCATTTATTAAAAAACCCTGAGTGCTGACTTTTTTTTTTATTTTTTTTGAGTGTGCTGAACTTAAAGCAGGTGAGCTCAAATCCATGTCGTGGACCGCTCTATGAATCGATACCCTCCACAGCTGGCCCCTTACTAGGGCAAGTTTGCCGGTGCCCATTGTGGAATCCTAGCCACCTGTTTGACCTACCCGTAGCTTTGCTCCCTTCTTTGTAACTCATTCTGTGCTGGATCTGCCCGTTCACCTGCAGCTTCTCTGCCTCCGCCCTGCTGTGCAAATCCCTCCAGGCGAGGCCCTCGGGCTGGGAGACGGAGCGGTGTGGCAGGCTTTCCAAAGGCCCAGGACCCTTTCCCAAAGCTCTGCCCTGTACGGAGCATGCCACCCCTCTCGGTCACAAGCATCATTTCCGAAGAGCACACACCAGGCATTTTTTCACTGCATGCCGTGGTTTCCGTCATGTTCACCCGCAGAGCAAAGTTGGCAAGGATCAGTGCACCTCACAATTGCTGCCCAAGTCAGAGGGCCTGCGGTGAGTCCCAGAGGTCACAAAGAAGGCAGGGGCCCGTTGTGCTCAGGGAGGGCAGAGCACCTGCCCAGCCTTCGGGGAGGCGGTGGCTAGTGAGCTGAGGCGCACGGGCATGCTCACCCCTGGAGGGACAGGGAGAGGAGGGCTTAATGGGCCTTGGCAGAGAACAGCGCAGAAGCAGGAAGCAGCCGCGTCCTGAGCTTGCAGCAGGGGTGGGGACGCAGAGCAGGGTGTGTGTGAAGCCTGAGCGCTCTGCAGGGCTCTGCCGTACCCCGAAGGAGGTGAAACTGCCCCACAGGAAGTACAGCAGCACCACCCGGACCGCAGTTTCAGGGCACTTTCAGTGTATCTTGTGTTTTGAAAGCCAGATGTGACTAATAGTTTTGGAAACAGAGGGAAAGAGCAGTCTTTCGTTCACATGCGCCACTCCCCGGTGCACAGCCGAAGGGAACTTGATCTCACGGCTGACATTTCCTGCTGGAGTTGCCAGAGCACGCACGTTGAGATTAGCAGCTTCTGGGCAGAGAAAGTGCATCTTGGCTCGCAGTCCAGGAGCTCCCAGTACCTGGTCAGGGGCCCCTTTGCTTCGGGCAAGAGGCGGCATCCCAGGGAGGGAGCACGGGGTGAGACCAAGCAGATCACCTCAGGGCGAGACAGGGAGGAAGAAGATGGACACATTCAGGGCTCGCGCCATCCCGCACAGGCAACCCCTATAGCCCGGGAGCCTCCCACTGGGTCCCAGCTCTTAAAGGACGCAAAACATCCCAGGCTTTTGCCAGCCGGGCCTTTGGGTGACCCGCGAACCTGTCTCGGTGGAAGCATAGCTTGTTTCTGATCTTCAAGTGCTTGCATGTTCCGAGTGATGATGCTTTATCAGTTTGTTTTTAGGATTCCACTCTGTCGGTGTCTCTGACCTGTAATTATCAGGATGACCAGTCCATCTTGACTCTGCTTTTCTTATTCCTGGGCTGCCCGTGTTTCCAGAAAGTTCCTGTCTCCTCCATGTTTGAGCTTTCATAGTTGAGACTTCCCACCAGTGCCCGGCCGTGTGTTCTGCTCCTCATTCACATTCAAGAACAGAGGAGCTGTGTGCCCTTGCTCTGGGGCTGCTGTTGCAACGCCCTTCCGGCAACAGAATTGCGTCCTTCCCGCCTCTGGAGACCAGGAGCCTGAAATTGAGGTGTGGGCAGGGCTGGTATCTTCTAAAGAGACTGCAGGGGGATCCCACCTCTCTTCTTCCAGCTGGTGAGACCTCCAGAGGTCCCTCACTCCATTCTCTGCCTCCGGCCTTGCATGGCTTCTCCTCCATGTCTCTGTCTCCTCTGGTCGTTGGATCTAGGGCCACTCTAATCCAGGCGCCTTCACTAAATCCTGTTCAGGAGTATCAGGGATTGCGAGTGGGCTGTCACTTTTGAAGGGTCACCACTCACCCCGCGGGTGCATCCGGTTATGCCGCTTTTGACCTGTAACATCACAGTGTTTCAGGCGGTTGGGAAAATCATCTTCTATGAAGGGGAGTACTCTGCTAAAACACTTTACCTGTGAGGAATGTCTCACTCTGGGAGGGCCTATGACACTCCCCCACAGATTGTGTTAGGAGAAAGTTGAGTCTGCAGAACCAGCATGGTGTAGCAGTGTGTCGAGTCCCAGGTCAGCGCCATGGGTATTTTGCTTCGAGGTAGTGGGTGAGATATCAGGGATAATGCCCCTGAGCTACTCGGGCTCTGACACATACCCCCACTGGATGCATATAAATCCCGGTAGCAAACGTCAGGAACTCCCAACCACTCGCAACCACTGTCAGTCTTCTGTGCATTTTCTCCTTCTCACGTCCACTTCAATTGCAGCACGCCTCTTCTCTCCCATCCTGGATCTCCCAGACATGTAAAACACAAGCGTTCTGTCCACCAAAGCTGCTAATTCTTTACCTTCCCTGTTCTCTCCAGGTAGCTTATCCCGGGAGAGCTGATCCTGTGTAGCAGTACCTGTCGGCCCTTGCCTCCCTTCAGCTGGCCTATGCATGCCAAGTGCTAGGAGCTGGAAAAGGGTTTCGTATTAGCCCCCTTCTCCGTAGGACAGAACTCCATTTCCATTAGCCCCTGTACTTCTCCCAACAAGCAACTGTTCTGATTCATTTGCTTTCTGGATATCAGAGCTTTAGCAGGAACCGGGCAGTAGCATATGAAGCAAGGCTCACTTGCTCCTGAGTGTATATGCAGTGATGGTGACCGTGGCCCACATCTTCTGGGGTTCCCTGCACTGTATAGCGTGCTCACACGTGTCTGTCCCCACCCCTGGGAAGCCACCCACCACGGAGCTCTAAGCGCTGTTGCAGTTGTGGCCCAGATAGGGGATCTCCTTGTCCCTGTGGCCAGCGGACTGGCCATTATCTCTGCTCTGACTTCATGTGGCTCCCAGGTTGCAGAAGGATCTCAGCACACTATGCCTGTTCTAAAACAGTCACCCACAAACACCTCTGGTTTCTCCCCACCCCTAAAAACGTGGGTGCGCTCTGCAGCACATAAACTGACTCACGTTTGTTTCTGGTCTGTCCTGGTTACTTTTCTCTTGTTGCCGAGACAAAATACCTGGCTCCCAGAATGAAGGAAGGAAAGGTTTATTTAGCTCACAATTCATGGAGGTTTCAATCCATACTCAGCTGGCTCCAAGGTAGAGTGGCACATGGCAGAGGGCAACACTTCATGGCAGAGGGCCACAGAAGATAGCCAGAGCAGCAAGAGCAAAATGGGAGGAGCAGCAGAGGGAAGAGCAAGCCTCTTTCCCTCCCTTATATTATATGCAAACTATCTGCCTCAGGGCAGGTGCTGCAGTACTCACACCCTTAATCCCAGCAGTGGACTGTGGATCAATCAAAAATCTAGAAGCCTATAACAGTCCCATGACAGTATGAGGATTTGGGGGGACATGCAGACACAAATCATAAAATGGTCTGTCTTCTGATTTCCTATTACATACCTACCAAAGTAGGCACAGACAGAAAAACAGGAAAGCTCTAACAAATCCAGTTGTCTTTTCAAAAGAATCTTACAAAAGATTTGCTTCTCATGCCCTGTGTTCAAGTGAGGGATGTGTTTAACTATGCTCCACTGTTTTTTAAACTGTTTGGATTACAATTGCGGAGATTGTGGTTTTAAAATCTCCCTTCAAGTGCAAATAATTTTGCGGCTCAGCATTTGTCAGTGCGTCCAGACAGACGTTCGTTATTGGCTGTGTGTCTGCTATGGTAGTACTTTCAGTCTCTCCGCCAGATAGGTTAAGTTTATATTGAAATTTTGCCAATACTTTCAATACTCCCTGCTCTTAACCCGTAGTGGTTGCAAGCTATAAAATGATGTGGCATTGAAATATTTTTAATTAATGGGTGCAAGTTCCACAGAAGCCCTTCAGTATGAATATTTCTGCACAGGTTGAGTATCTCTGTAACGTGAAGCTGTGTGGGTCAGCGTACTCATGAAATAAATGTCTTGGTAGTTTTCTGGGTTTTGTCTGGTTTTACTACTGGAGAAGTGCAGTCTTGATGTCATAAGAAGAGTTAGCAAGCACTCCTTCCAATTTCCTAAACATGTGTTAGAATTCCTGTTGTTTCTTGGGTGTTGGGGAAGGTCACCCAAAGAGACTCTGGTCCTAGATATGGGAAGGTTTTTAACTACGGATACAGCTGGTTTCATACATAGGGGGCTGTTCAGCTGATTAGTATGCTGAGTTTTACGTCTTTCGAAGGATTAGTCTATTCTGTCTAAGCTGTCACACTCACTGACAGTGAAGGACTCATAATTGTTTTCATTTTATTTATTTTAGGATCAGTAATGTTGCCCCGTATCATTATTTATATTGATAGATCTCGAGCTTTCTTTTTTTCTTGGCCTGTCCGGCTAGAGGGTCAAGATTTCAGTTGATCTTTTCAAAGAACCAGCTTTTAGCTTAATTGACTTGGTGTCGTTTCTGTTTTTTTGTTGTTTCTCCTATTTTTATTCCCTTTTTCTTCTGATTCACTCTTTGTATGACTTTCCTAAGGAGAAAGATGAGCTCGTCACTGACCTTGTAGTTATTTTTCTTTAATGTGACAAGATAGACCACTGAGTGGAGACCCACTTCTTCTTTCATCTGGCATTTAATACGGTCAGTTTCTTCTGCTTTAGTTGTATCCCACAGATTCTGGTATGTTTCTGTTCTCTCCACAGCAGTCTCTAATTTCCTTTTGTGGTTTCATCTCTGACCATGTCTTCCATAGAAATGTGTTGTTTAGCATCCAGATATGCGTAGTTTTCCAGATACTATTCCATTATCAATATCACATGTTGTTGTTATGGTTGGAATGAAGGAAGAGAGGGAGGGAGGGAAAGCAAGAAGACTAGGAGGAGGAGTGAAGGAAGGCAGGCAGGCGTGCAGCACATCATGGTGTGTTCGTGGAGCACGGAGGTCTGCTCCCCTCATGGTGAGCAGGAAGCAGAGGGGAGGAGGAGCCGGGTTCCATTGTGTCCTTCCTGGGCACCTGACACCCCAGACCTCTCCTCCTTTCACAAGGACGGCCTCCTAAGGCCCACCACCTCCGGACACACCTTGCGCTGGCGACAGGTGACACAGCCCTTGGGGGGACACTCCACTCCCAGGCTGTGGCATGACCTAGGCCAGTGGCCCTCACCAGTGTGCTCAGCGCCTGAAGTCCCCCTGCTCCTCCCTAGGTGTGGAAACACTCATCCACCACCTGCGCAAGCACGGCATCCCCTTCGCCGTGGCCACCAGCTCCGGGACCGCGTCCTTCGCGATGAAGACCAGCCGGCACAAGGAGTTCTTCCGTCTGTTCAGCCACATCGTGCTGGGAGACGATCCCGAGGTGAAGAGCGGGAAGCCCGCCCCCGACATCTTCCTGGCCTGTGCCAAGCGTTTCTCTCCCCCGCCGCGCCCGGAACAGGTGAGCTGCGTGTGTGTGAGCAGCGCCAGGGCTCGCTCTGCTGGTACCCCAGAGCGTGGGCTTGCCAGGCCCTGCAGGCCGCGTGGGAACACTGAAGGGTGTGGGGGTGCCCAGAGGATGCTCCTCAGGGTTCCCTAAAGCGGTCGCCTAAGAGACCTGCAGGGCAGGGCCCGTTTCTGCCCGGACTTCCAGGCATACGTGCATTCCTCGAAGTTCAGAAGCAGATCCTCAAGCTCATTCCTCTCCTGGGCACTTGTACAGTGATCAGTCGTGGCTGCAGTCCTTCCCCCGGGAAGGTGGCGGGCAGTTAGGGGGTTGTGCCCCGCAGTGCCCACAGCTCGGTGCAGGTGCCGGCGGGCTCTAGCTGTTCCCACACTGCACGGCCTCCAGCCCTCCTCCCCGTGAGACAGAGAAGGTCGTGGCCCCAGACACCACGCAGAGCAGCGCCTTCTAAATAAAGCTGGGCACCTGGGGCGTTCTCGGGAGGGCAGTCTGGCTGTGGTCCCAGAGTGCAGCAGACTTCCAGCTATTTCTTTTTTTTGTTTTTGTTTTTAATTTTAAAGAGTAGTAAATGAGAAACAAACAAAGAAATAGAATAGTAGCAGCATACCAATTTCACACACATAAACAAACCAAAGCAAGAACAAAGTGATACAGTCTTAAGACAAAATAATGTGAATCAAAAGTGGTTGTTACATTACATATCGCTATCCTCAACTACGTTGCTCAGATTACCCGATGTAAGAATGGAGGATTGCTCACGCTATTCTAGGGAATAAGAAAATAATTCTTCGATAAAATAGTAGAGATAATATAGTTTCACTAGACAAGATGGTAGGAGTTCACCTGATGCTGTATTGAAGTGAACAGTTAATGATTACAATTTTTATCTTCTGATCGATTGTGCGTGCTTGTGTCTGGTGCTCTGAGCAGCTGATTTGAAGGTAACAATATGCAGTGGCATTCCAGCTGTTTCTTATCTGGAACACTCAGGGCCACTACTGCTCTGGCTGGCAGATGTTGCAGTATTTGCGTGTACAGTTCAGAGTCCCTTAAACTGACTCGGACAGACAGGAAGACACTGGACTTGCGTGTCCTGGTTTGCTGTGGAGGAAAGAACCGAGGACCCACCAGACTGAAGAGATGCCGAGGGCCCCGTGTGGCAGCGGGTGCAGAGCTCCTACGCGGTCTGCCCCTCACCGCCGTGTGCCCTTGGGCCTCAGTGGCCCCACACACCATCCCAGAGGGTTTTGCTGTGGTGGCCTCCTGGCTGACTGACGTGTGAGGGAAGGAGTCACTTCCAGTTCCCATCCTGTCCCCATGCTGGGACCCAGAACCGCGGCCTGCGGCTGAGGTCCTCAGCTGCGGAGATGTGCAGACCGCATGCTGGAGCGACCCTGGGCACTCCTTGGCATCCACCCAGGTCTGACCAGAAAGGGCTTGGTAGTCACTCAGGACATTCCAGGACTGTCAGGAGCTCTGCGCTGGGAATGCAGGAGCAAGACGGAACATGCGTCCTTCCTGCTCCCGAGGCAGGGAGGGTCAGTGAGCCGGGCGCTGGGTTCACAGCACCACGCACTCCCTAGCTTCCTCCCTCCCTGTCTCCCTCCCTCACCCTGAGCTGGAGAGAGTCCCTGCGCCCTGGGGCGCTGCACCAGGTCCCTAGTGCAAACCTGCCTCCCTGCCAGGTCCATTGGGGCCTGTGCGTGCCCCCGCAAGCGCCCCATCACTCATTCCACGCCCCGTGTTTGCTTTGCGGGAGGCCTTTTCCCCTGGTTAAAGAATGACTTCCTAATTTGAGGTAATTTGAGGTCATAAGGGCTCCCTCTTTTCAGCAAGTGCTCAGAGAGGAGAAGGAAGGTGCCGCCCTGCCCCCCTAATCCGGTCCACAGAGCGAGGAGATCTGCAGTCGGAGCTGGCGAACACCAGACTCGGTGCTGGTCTGTGCGTGACCTTCCCCACCGCACGGCGAGGGCGGGAGAACCCACAGCCAGCTCCACGCTTTGCTCGCTCACCGGCGCCCTTGTGCAGAAGGGGAGTTTACCCGTCATAGGGATGGCGTTACGGAGACAGAATGGCTCTCAGAACCACAGGCCGGGTTGCCTGAGACCCCCGTGTCAGGCCGCAGCGCAGCTGTGGCTGGAGTCCCCTTGCAGTGTGAGTGGGGCTCGCGGGGCGCCTCCCTCCCCTCCCTGTCAACCCCAGCATGCAGCCTTCGGGTTGAAGTAGGAAGGGAAGTGGGAGCAGTGCCTGTTCCCGAGAGCCCCGGACTGTGTGTTTGGCTTTGGCCCGGGACATGCAGAGCCGAGGTCAAGGCGCTGGCTGACCACAGCTGAGTTCTGCTGTTTGGCCTGTCCACTCCCACTCAGAGGACACATATTCAGCCAGTGGCTTCCTGTGGCGTGTGCGCTATCGCGGGAGCCCCCGAGTTAGGTAGAGGCCTGATCATAACAGAAGGTGGTGGGGACACGTGGCGGCACCAGGTCAGAGCCCGCGTTGCCGTGTTACTATGGGGCACCGACTCACAGAGCCGTCCTTGCAGCCTTCACTGGGGCGTTTTCGGTTCTGTCCATAGCTCCCCTTTGTGCTAAAAAGTGACCTTCAAAGGCCTAGGAAAGGCCTCTGACAGACATGTCCTGGAGCTGCTGTCAAGCCGCCCCTGCCCCTGGGTGCCCCTCAGTGATGCTGTGGGTAGGGGCTTGCGGGGTGCCACGCAGATGGTGGTGGCAGGCTGGGTGTGGGCCTGTCACCCCTCCTCCTGCCCTCAGCGATGCACACCTGCGCGGAAGAATGCAGGCGACTGCGTGCTGCACACACGGCCCGTGTGGGCTTGGCAGATACTGCGGGCGAGACAGGAAGTCGGTCGTCAAGCTTCTCTGTGGCAGCGCTGCTCGTCCGAGTGTTCTTTTCAGGAGGAGCGGAGTTTCAGGGACTTCTATTGTCATCTTGTTATTTTGTGTTGTTTTGTTTTCTTTTGTTCTGTATTCAAGACACTCCCGCACCTGAGGCTTTCTGCGCCTTGAAAGTGACTCAGAAAGTCAGGAGTGTGCTGGCGGGCGAGCGCCGGTTCCCTGCGCACATGTGTGGCACCCAGCTGCCCGGTGTATCTCCTTACGGTGTCTGCGCGGAGATTCCAGAACCAAGCCCGGAGCACATCTGCTGTCGGGCCTTTCAGATAAGGGCTGCTTGACCTGGACATAAAAGGTCACTTGACAGAAGGCACGTTACAAACTGTCTGGGCACATGAATATATTCCTCTGGGACTCACCCTCTGTACCTTCCTTAGGAGCTGCTCACCCCTTCCGGCCGGTAACAGGAAGGGGGAGTGCAGACAGTCCAAACGCCACCTCTGTGTGTGCCTCCGCCGGCTCTCCCTGTGGAGAACCCCCCAGGGCATCTCCCACATGCTTGGGTTTTCCATGTAGCCGGCATCACTTTGTGTGACCATCAGCCTTGAAATTGGGACCCAGCTGCCTCGGGGTGCTAAACGTGGGACTCCGGGACAGTACATTTTGGGGCATGTTTGGTTTTGGTTTTTGGTGTTTGGTTTTTTTTTCCCAGTACCAGGAATCAAACTCACGACCTCGAGCTTGCCAGGCAGGCGCTGTGCTGCTGAGCTAAATCCCCAGCCCCTTTGGGGCATTTTTGAAACCTACACATTTGTTCATGACCAAGTCTTAGCCCCACTCCAATCCGTTTGCAGTACTAGGGGGTGCATCCAGGGCTTGCGTACTAAGCCACGTGCCGGTGCATTTTTAATTCGGAGACTGGGTTTCCCTAAGTCACTGTGTCCTTGGAAATCTTGTCCCCTGCAAGGACACCATGGCTGAATCTGCTAATGCTACTGTTGCCTTCCTCTCTATCCCAACTCCATGCTGTCCTGACCCGAGAGATGTAGTCTCCACCTATACTTGCTACGTCCTCTAAGACCCAGGTCCCGGGATGTTTGCACCATCGCTCCGTGCCGTAAAAATGTGCATCCCGTCCATCCCAAATACTTTCTTACAAACCCAGTCCCGGGTTCTTGGAGGTGGTGGCCGGGCCTGAGCTCAGCTGCTGACTAGCTGCGCGTTTCTGGTAGGACAGCACATTGAACACGGCTGATCCGAGACGAGTGCCCCCACCAGAGACAGCATCAGAGCTGTCTCCCACCCCGCCCCTGGCTGTTGCCTCACCTTCTTGCTACTGTGTCCGACATTCTCCGTTGTAGTTGCGCAGCTTTTAAAACTCCTCTTTGCTTTTACCTAGTAATGATAGCTGTTATGCCCTAGACGCGTTCTGTTAAGTCTTGCTAAGTCTCTGGCGCCCTTGCGGAACACAGCGCCAGCCTGTTACTGACTAGCGCAGGAAGCCGCTGTCTAGATCACTAGGGTTGGTCTGGGAGTCACAGACCCAGGGACCCACAAGCGCCAGTGCCTCCTGCCTATGTGCTCCTGGATGCCTTCCATCTCCAGGCACTAGCTTTAGTTTAGAACAGCGGTGCAGAAGGGTTTGTCTGCAGTGATTGGCAGAGAAGCCCTGGGCTCCTGCCGCTCCTGGACACGGCGTGTTCTTTCTTGAGTTGCTCATCTGCGGGGGCTCACGCACCGGTTTGCTGACATGGGCTGGGGACAGGGCTCAGGAGCCGAGCCGGGGCCTGGCATACGCAGGCCTTGGGTTCCATCCCCAGCCCTGCCAGGAGGAGGGACGAAGGTGTTCGGCTTGAGCTCAGCTGAGCTGCAACAGTGAGAATAAGCAGGGAGTCTGACCCAGGTGTGATCGGGGACTTTATGGGGTGAACAGGAGGGGGACGTTTGACAGTGCTGGGCAGCAGACAGCCCCTCCTCACTGATCCCAGGAGGGCCCTGTCACTCAGTGCGTCGTGCTCATCATCAGCATGCTGGACAGATGGAACCGGGTCCGGGTCAGCTCTCCCGGCCCCCTCAGCAGAGCAGCAGGAGAAGCCAAAGAAGGCTGCAAGCGTCTCTCCGTGCTGACGCGGGCGAGCGTGGCCGTCAGCT